CAAGCTTCAGATAGCTGTCAGTTGATGGTATTTTTTCCTACTAACACTTTATTTAAAAATATAAAATTACCATAATTTGTTAAATTTAATTTTTTTTAATATATTTTATTAATTTTAATTAAATATTTTAAATATTTTAAATTATAAATAATAATAATTAATTATTAAATATTAACTATTAACTGATATAAAAAAACTTAATTCAAATAACCTTTAAAAAAGTTACAAGATGTAACTTATTTAATTCTTTATTATAAATAATTTAAATGTTAAAAAGAAACTTTTAATTAACATCAACAAATGATTTTTATAAGTCAACATTAAATTATACAAATTAAAAAAAAATTATTCTTGAAATATTTAAAAATTAATTTGAAAGCATTTAACATAAATGAAGTTAATAATGATTAGTGCTACCTAATTATTATTGACTTTGCATATCTAATGTGGTATGATTATGCTTTCAATTTGTCATCCTTGTGTTCGGATGGTCTTAAAAGAGGAACTGCTACAAATGACAAAACCTACCATGAAAATTTTCCATTCTTCCAATCAAAATTCTAGAATTTGAGAGCGACAACCGTGTGAAGAGGCAACAAGAAGAGAGAGCGAGAAAGATCGAGAAGGAACGAATAAACCTGGAAATGTCATGATTGCTTAGGGACCAAGTATTCGTAGCCGTACAATCAATTATTGAATCAAAAACAGCTTCAATGGCCACGTCTACGTGCCCCCCAACAAATCATTCAAAGCATACGAAATACCATTTTTCCCAACTACTAAATATACTATTTCGGATTCTCTATATTCCACCCTCCAAGCCCTCTTGATTCACATTCACTTCCAATGAGCCCGATTGTAAAGGACAGGCGTTCAAGCCTGTTAAGAGCCATTTATCTCTGTATTTCTAAATTATAAATTGAATTGCTTGTATGCGAAATGAGAACCATCATATTCAACAATTAAACAGTACAGGTTAAATTTATTGGTACCTAATATATTATTTTGTAGATTAGATTTAAATTTTAAGTTTATAAATAAGTATTTAAAGAAATTAATTTTTTAAATGTATTAAAATAATGTATGAGGTACATATTTAAAATTTTTCAAAAATAAATTAGTTTCAAACTATACAAAAACTAATTTGAGGGGAGCATTAATGGTAATAAAAAAAAAATCTTGATTTAGCACCTCGACATTTTCCCTATATTGAACAAATTATATGGGTTCTAATATAGAAACATTAATATAGTAAACTCAAAATTAAAGCGGAGTTGCATTAAATACTTAAAAAGTCATTCAAACTATGTTAGAAATGTGAGTTTAAATCCCTTTAATGCCATTTGAATGCCAACAATTCTAATAAATCATGTTTATTACTGTTAAAGATATAATTTTACCCGATACTCATAGATAAGATAATTTACAAGTATTTATAAGATTAGTTAAATCAACTATCTAAATATTCATATTATTCCATTTTAAAAAAAAAAGAAGTTGAAAGTGCTACTTTTTCAAAACCACTCGTTAACAAATATATATGTAGCAGCATGGTCATCTAAGATGGTTTTAAAAAGGCGTTGAAGAACATGGGTAGAAGGATAAATCCTAGTTAGAAAAGTGACATATAAGAGCATCAAAGACGAAATTCAATTAGTAAATCACAAAATAAAGAATTTTTGGTAGGCATAAGACAAGTGAAATGCATTTTTTCTAGCCCATTTGATTCCAGATCTGCAGACAAGTACAAAAACTGCTTAGATGACTTCTCTAACATTCTTTCTTGTACTTCATTCCTCCACTCAGAGAAGAACCAAACTTATTGCAGATTGAAATTTATATATACTCCTTGAATTCATTTTTAGTAATTTTAGTTTGATTTTTTAACGTTTTAGATATGATTGAAAATTTTTTAATTAAATAAAAATACTTGATAAAAATCTTATTTGGAAAATTTTTGTAATTATTATTTATATAAATTGTTAAATTTTTATTTAAAATTTATATTTAAAATGCCAAAAATTAAATCAAAACTATTAAAAATAAATAAATAAGAGTATATAAAATACACTATTTCCCCTTAACAGTTAAGAGATTAAAAAAAAAAAGAAAAAAAAATAGAGACACTGTCCCACTGATACGAAACGTACTGAGATGAACTGAAACGGCGGTCACGTGAGAAAGGGCTGAGGCCTGTGCCTGTGCCCAGCGTCTTTTTATCCAGATAGGCCCATTCCTTTTTATTGGGGCTACTTTCGGCTTCTTTTTTTTTTTTTTCTTTTTCTTTTGAGGTCGAAATGGGTTGGGCTTCATTCAATAAACTGGGTCCACGAAAAAGAAAGAAAAAAGTTGTTTTAAGTTTCTGAATTTCAAGCTTCAGATAGCTGTCAGTTGATGGTATTTTTTCCTACTAACACTTTATTTAAAAATATAAAATTACCATAATTTGTTAAATTTAATTTTTTATATATTTTTTAAATAATTTTAATTAATATCTTATATATTTTTTTGATAGTTAAGAAAAAAATCTATAACCACAACCTTATAAGACATTACTTAACAATCTAATGGCAGGACCAGGGATTTGTTTAGGGTAGGGTCTTATACTATATTATAGTTATGGTTATTAATAACAAGATAAATTGATATTAATTAGAATTACTATAACATTGACATATTGATTAAATAAAATACTAATCATACAACTCTTAAGTATGGAGATGACCATTATTTTGATCCACATAAGATACATCATTAATCAAATTTAAATTTACCATGAAAAATCTGTAATTTAAAATAAAATTTCATTTTAAAAAAGTAGAAATGAATTATAAATGAGTTTGTAACTTGAAATTTGATATTTTAATAGATAAAAAATTGAAACAAAGATAAAGAATTCAAATATAAACATTAATTAACTTCAAATGGAGTAGAAACTAAAGAACTTCTCTCCGTTTGAACATATTTTGAAACCTTTTCACAATTCGTTTGTTGTCAATGTTCTCTATGATATCTTTTTCAATGTAACAAACCAAACAATCATTCATTTATTCATCACTCATCCTATTATGCAACTGAGTCTTTATAATCTTCATTGCTGAAAATACTCTTTCTACATTAGTGGTTGCAATCAATAAAAGCATAGCTAATTTCAAAAGCAAGAAAACTAATGGCTAAACACCATTCTTTTTTTGACTCCACTAACTTTTTGGCAAGTTCATCAATGTTGTTCACATGAGAGAATGCACAAGTAGACCTCATATCTATAATGTAAAGATCCAATTGAGTATCAAGTAAATCATGTTCTATAGGAGAAAAATCATTTGGATAAAATTTCACAAGACTCAATAATTTTTACTAATCAAAAGAGGCAAATCCATCAAAAGGATCAAGGCGTGCAACACATAAAAGCAACTCAGTATTTATTGCATTACACCGGTCATTTAATTCATTTAGCATCCAATAAAAAATGGTATTGTAGAGTTCATACAAAAATAATGCAAGTTTGTCATCTTTTCCATTCTCCATTGACTTCTTTTTGGATTTTTATAATCATCACCCGTATTTGGCACAACTACATCAAACTTTTCACAAAAGAAAACCACTCCTTGCAAAAAGGACTCCCATTCACCATCATTTCTCATCTTTTTCAATAATTCCTTTGTTAACTTCGCTAACTTCATAGCATTAATAATATCTTGATCTTTTTTCTGTAGTGCTTGAGACAAGTCATTTGTCTTAGCAAGAACACTTTTCATCAAATGTAGAAGGAATATGAAATCAAATGTTTGAAGTTGCTTAGAAAGTGTAGATGCTCTTCCTCTTTGAGTTAGATCAAATCCATCATCTATAAAATAGTCAAGAACATTAATGATAGATTCAAATATGAGGGTCAAGTTCAATAGTGAGGTATACTGAGAACCCCAATGTGTGTCTCCTGCTCATGTAAGCCCAAGTTCTTAATTAAGGCCATGACCACTTTCTAATTGCCACAATCTTGATTGGAGGTCTCTCCCTAGGGTCTGAAATCAAATTCTTCAAATTAAATTCTACACATGATTTTTTTCTACTTGAACCTCCATTAATATTTGCATCATGAACACATTTTTTTCTACTTGGGCCTTTTTGAGAAGTGTCTTTCCATGTTTGTTTTTACCAAAAAGGGATTTAATTTAATTATTTGAAATATAGTTGACTAATGTATGTTAAAACAATTTTAATAGTTAAAATAATTTTAAAAAAAAAGAATATTACTATTAGCAGGAACTTTAAAAATCAAAATGTAATTTTAACAATGAAATTTAATAACTAACATATCAAGATAGACAAACTCACAAAGGTAATACCATCAAACTAACATATAAAAAAAAAATTCATTTCTTCATCATCAAATAACAAGTAAATGATTAAACAAACTCATAGAGGTAATATCATTTTTTTTAATAATTGATTTATAATTAATTTATTTGCTAATAATATTTTACCAAAAAAATTATTCTTCCATTTAATGATAATTAAATTTATTGACTCAAATAAAATAGTAAGACATAATATCTATCCAAAATTTAAAACTAAAATACCCATAATCTAATAATAAGTTAAAATACAAAGTAACTACAAAAAACTAAAAAAAGAAAAAGAGTTAAAAAGAAAAATTTTTAAAAGTGATCTAGGGGCTGGCCGGTTGGGACCAATATAAGGTTTGATCCAATCAAAATATTAAAGGAGAAGCACCGAAACTGAAAGTGAGAGATCTAGGGGCTGGCCGGTTGGGACCACTTCCTCAATTCTAAAATGCAAATTTGGTGGAGATGTATTTTAGCTGACAAAGCCCTAATATTTGTTTATTTAGGCTTGCATATAAATGATGCTATAAGTTTTCAATTTAAGTCCTATTATAACTTTTGAATTTGGCCCAATCCATAACAAAACCTATAAGTTAAATTTATTTCTTCAATTTTACTCTTCATAGAAGGATAAGATCTAATAGTATTATACTTAATAATACTACAAATTTTTTGGATCCAAGATAGAGTTCATGCCTAACTCTAGGCTTAAATAGTTCCACCACTATAACCATCTTAAACTATTAAATAAAAATTAAGTTCCTTATAGTATGTTTGGTTCTGAGGAGGAGAGGGGATGTTTATTACCTCTCCTTTGGTTTGCATTCCTCACAAACCAAACATTAATGTTAATGTTGGAAGCTGTTCCCATTTAATGTTAATGTCGGAAGCTGTTCCCATTTAATGTTTTCTCTTTGCCGAACTGTAAATTACAGGGACCCTTCTCTATTTTACCTGTTAGGGACCTAATCGCTCAATTTTAAAGATTAAGGGTGACTTTCAAAGAAATCCTAAAGGACGAGAAGTAAAAACAGAATTCACCCTATCAAAAAGTTTAAACAGATAAAATTAATCTCTCCCTCTCTCTATAAACCCTAACGAGCAGAAAACCCTGCAAATCCCAACGTTCCTCTCCGAGATTCAACCATGTACGGTGGTGGTGAGTATCCAATATTCTGAAATTCTCCCTGAAATTTCTTCGCTTCAGCTTGTTTAGTAAAGAAAAAGATTTGATCTTGTACCTTTATACGCAGATGAAGTGTCAGCTATAGTTATAGACCTGGGTTCTCACACTTGCAAGGCGGGTTACGCTGGTGAAGATGCTCCCAAGGCCGTTTTTCCTTCTGTAAGTTTCAACAATTTGCTCAAAATTTTCGACCCACATTGTCAAAATTAAAGCTTTTTATTTTTTATTTTTTGAGAAATCAAAATTAAAGCTCGTTGTATGCTTATGTTGGGGATGGTGTTTTGTAAGGTTGTTGGGTCCATTGACCAAATGGATGTTGATGAAGAAGCGGCAAACAACACTGAGCAGAGTGATTCTAAGGGTAATAATGGTGACCCCAATTCTAACAAAGGGAAGGGGAAACGGAAATTGTATGTAGGATCTCAATCCTTAGGTTTCCGCCGTGACCATATGGAGGTCAGCTTCTTGTTTCTGTTTCCCTTTTTTGTGATGGTTTGATTCTCAGTAGTTTTATTGCCTAAAAGAGCTGTTACGTGCATCAGGTCCTGTCACCCTTTAAGGATGGAGTTGTTGCTGACTGGGATATCGTGGACAGCATATGGGACCATGCATTCAAGTATGCCTCTATTGTTAACCATTTCTCTCTTTCTGTTTCTTAGCTATCCATAATGCATTCCTTTATGGTCATTGCTGCTGTTTCAGGGAATGTTTGCTCGTTGATCCTAAGGAACATCCAATGCTGCTTGCAGAGCCATCTTCCAACAATCAGCAACAAAGGGAGAGGTAATTTCACTTCCTTTATACTCATGATCTAAGTGTTTTGCTTCATAAGTAGTTGTGGACTAACAGATTTTGACGAGCTATCTATTTAACAGAACAACAGAGCTTATGTTCGAAAAATACAATGTTCCTGCATTATTTTTGGCCAAGAATGCTGTATGCCTCTGCTCCATTCTGTGCCTATTACTTCATCTTGGAGTCTTTTCTTTTTTCCTATAGTGTGTGGCTCGTAATTCTGTGTGTGATCTTAATATATGTTGATTTCAGGTTCTCACATCTTTTGCAACAGGGCGTGCCACTTCTGTAGTTGTAGATAGGTATGGTTTTGTCTTAGATTAGTTATCTATTTTTTTTCTTTGTCATGTACTACTTTACTGTTATTTTGATAACCATAATCTCATTCAGTGGCGGAGGATCAATCACAGTTGCTCCAGTGCATGATGGTTATGTTCTTCAAAAGGTATTCCTATTTTTCTAGTCAATTAGGAACAATCACTTGCCTGCTAATGTAGCTTGGATGTTTTCATTTATATTTTCAACTACTGGCAGAACCTTTTCTGTCATTGCATACAGTAGCCACACCATTTTCTTCTGCAAGTAGTATCAACTGTATCATTTCTATGTCAACACATAGCCTTTGTTTCATTGCTTTTTGTCTAAAACTTTGGCCAGAGGTTGCTTCTTAGTCATAATTTGAACCAGTTTTATAATTTCAAATTTTGGTATGCATTATGATAGAACTATTAAAATATATTTGAAAAATCCTTAACCCTAATAGATTTTTTGAAGATCTGACCTGGCTTGTCCTATCCATGTTTAGTAAGCACATGGGCAAAATTTCATTGGCAATATCTGAATGGCAATTTTCTGGTCATAATGATATTATAGCCCAGGGAAGAGTCATGTGTGTTGCTTTATGAGTTAAGCTTTAGAAATGTTTCTTTATGGCAAGTGAAGTTTTGCCATGGAAATGCTTCATCAACTTTCAATCACCATATGAAGAAAATTTGATTATTTTCTTGTGGTTGGATGAGGTTTAAGTTTTCTGCTACCTTAATTCATCTACCTTTAACGACTTTTATTGCTGGAGGCTGACTTTCATTTTTTCTCCCTTGTCATTCTTTCTGTGATGGTAGGCTGTGTCATCTTCTCCAATTGGAGGAGAGTTTCTTACTGACTGCTTAATGAAGAGCTTGGAAAGCAAAGGTATAGTGGTAAGTAGCTAAGGACCTAAGGATATTAATTTCTCCTTTTTTTCTAAAAGAATTGAAGTTATAGCCAAAGGTTAGCACTTTAATTTCATGTTTTGCCTTGGTTTTGCAGATAAAACCAAGGTACTCTTTCAAGAGAAAGGAAATACAACCAGGGGAGTTTCAGGTACTTTTATATCATATGGTGTTGGGGTTTCCCATGATTTACTACTTCCATTTCATATTAATTTCATGGATACATAGTATCCCCTCAGTTTTGATTTAGAGTTATGCCATCACTCATCGGTAGCCTGTTGGAAAATGATTGAAATAAATGTATTTTTTACAGAAAATAAAACGTACTTTACCCAAACTAAGATTCAAATTGTTTTAGCTGCATCTTTCAAATTAGCATGTCTTTCCTTTTTAACCATAGATGAGTAATGAGATATCACTGATCAACTGTTTCTTATATTTCCTTGTGTGCTAATTGAAATTTCATTGTTGCTGTATATATCAACAACTGTCTATGTTGTTTCTTACATATTCTACTTTACTTTTGTTTTTCTCACAGACAATTGATCTTGATTTTCCAAATACAACGGAAAGTTACAAACTATACTCCCAGGTCTGCAATAAACAACGACATTCTTTGTAGAGGTGCCTCTTTTCTTTTTCACACAATTTCCATTGACTATCATTTTGCAACAGAGGGTAATTGCTGGTGATATAAAGGAGTCTGTGTGCCGAGCCCCGGATACCCCATATGATGGTTTGTGTTCCCACATGCAGTTTTTCTGATCATGTTTACTTGTTTCTTATGTATCACATGACTTTTTACTCTTCTAGCAAAATTACTGTATTTATGTATTTTAGACACATAATTTAACAATACCTCACTGATTCCTCCCATGCAATTATACATGATAGCAATTTTTCAATGCCTTTTAAATTGTGTTGAGTTAGAAATGTTAGCACAAGTTCTGTTCATCTATCTAATTTTGTTGATAGCCACCTCTCTAAGTTGTAATTCCAAAAGACCCATTTCTTGAGATTCCTATAATTTTGAGAATACCAAACATTCTGATGTATTTGCTTTTCTTTGTAGAAAGGGCATATGCAAATATTCCAATGACTTCATATGAGCTTCCAGATGGCCAGTAAGTTCCTTGTAATTTGTTAGCAATATTATCAATGCATATGTTTTGTCTCAACTTCATTAAATATCATGCATTTGCTACTACCAGTTATTTTTACTGACTAAAAGGTCAACTACATATGGCCCAGTTTGACAACAGAAGCGGGGTCCTTGGACCTAGCTCCACTATTGGTAATGTCTATCTTACCCTGCATTTTTGTTTTACATTTGATTCAGGACAATTGAAATTGGAGCTGACAGATTTAAAATTCCTGATATTCTCTTCAACCCTTCTTTGGCTCAGGTGGGTTAGCTTGCAAACTTTTGAGATGGCTGATTTGTTGTTTCTCTTTCATATCTAGGGCACACTTCTCATGTAATTCTGCAGTTACTATCCTCTTTTCCTTTTTTTTTTTTTTTTATTCAAAACTTGGGGTTTAGGAAACTTGTTTATCCTGTTCCTGTGTTATAAACTTCTTTTGTTTGTAGATGAGAATGCAACCTCTTTTATGGTCTATCTTGTAGAGTAGTGATGACTTATGAGTTATCTGATGGAAAGCTTTTGTTCTTAGCATCAACTTACTTGGTTCAGATTATAAATTTTACATTCACAGTTGATGAGATGCAGTGAAGTGGTTCACTTTAGTTCACTTAAAAATTTGTTGTGGAAGTTGTCCATAGCAATTATTCTGAGAAGTGTAAAGGCAGTCCCTATCTAGTTTATTTTGTTTCTTTAATGACTAAACTATCATTGTGTATTGATGTAGCATTTCTGACTTCATCTGTTATCAGACAATTCCTGGAATGGAGAATTTTGCTGAGGTTGCCCCTTCTGTTCGTGGCTTGCCTCAAATGGTATGGACATTCTTGCTTCCTTGCATGCATTGCAGCACTCTCTTCCAACATGGATATCTTCACTGTTGTTTAATAAGTAGGGCTTAGTTAAGCATTTTCTAATCTTTTGCAGGTTATGGATAGTATTAACAGATGTGATGTTGATATTCGGAAAGAACTGTTTGGTAGTATTCTGGTAAAGTCAATCTAAGGGTTTACTTTTACTTTTCTTTTCCCTGTTCTCTTGTTTGTTCATTGTATTAGTTTCTACACTTGGCTTCTGTTAAGTACATGGACATATTTCGGATGATTTGATGTGAACATCTAGGCAGTCTTTGTCTGCCTCCCTTTTAGTAGTATCCTATTTGTTTTTGTTTAGTGTAACCAGCTTTCATATGGAATAATGGAAATATCATTTTGTGTTCTCAGTGTTAGAAGGAATAAAGCCAGCATGTCTGTGTGCTTAGGCTCTGTTTAGTTGGGTTGTGGTTTTTGAATTTTTTTTTGTATATATTTTGTAACTAATACTATATTTAGAATTGACATTAAATATAGTAGATTTTAATTTCATATAGTAAACTCTGATTTCTAAATATAGTAGTATTTACTAAATATAAAAAAATGAAAACCAAAAACCCACAACTTAACTGAACAGAGCTTTAGTTTTGTTGTATATTTTTATTCTGGATTTTTATTCCTTTAGTTATTTTGTGTGCTGATTTTGTTCCATCTGGTATAGCTTGCTGGTGGCACAGCATCAATGCAACAGTTGAAAGAACGTCTTGAGAAAGACTTGCTAGAGGTATGTGTCCTATGCCTTTATTTTTGTTTTTACTTCATAAATTTGTTTTTGATTCCTACCAGAAAAAGGAGATGACCCACAATATGAGCTGTATAAAGAATCA